TTGAGCAGAAGCTGTCTTTCAGACATGGGAAAACCTCCACTGACTTTCAGTCCTTTCAGAAACATGCAGAGACAAATCCTGAAGAAAAACTTTATGGATATAAGCAATGTGCAAAATCCTACTCTGAGTGCACTGAAGGAAATAATTCTGAAGAGAAATCCTTTGAATATAATCAAGATGTAAGACTCTTCAGTTCACCCAACTATGATAAAATCCAGGAAAGAAATGACAGTAGGATGAATACCTATACATATATAAAATTGGGGAAAAGTTTGAATTCTCACCGTGATATTCAGAAACATGAAAGAGCTCACAGTGGAGTAGACTTCTATGTATACAAACACAGTTGGAAACTCTTAAATAATAAAACTTCATTTGGTAGTCATGAAAGAACTCACATTATGGGGAAACCCTATGTTTGTAAGCAATGTGGGAAAGCTTTCAGCAAACAGAGTCATTGTCAAATACATGAAAGGACTCACACTGGAGAGAAACACTTTGTATATAAGCAATGTGGGAAAGCTTTCAACACACGCAGCTCTTACCAAATACATGAAAGGACTCACACTGGGGAAAGACACTTTGTATGTAAACAATGTGGGAAAGCTTTTAGGAGACATGATAATTGTCACTCTCATGAAAGGACTCACACAGGGGAAAAACCCTTTGTATGTAAACAATGTGGGAAAGCTTTCAGAACACAGGGTAATTGTAAAACCCATGAAAGGACTCACACTGGAGAGAGACCCTTTGTATGTGAGCAGTGTGGGAAAGCTTTCAGGACACTCCAGGTGTGTAAACGACATGAACGAACTCACACTGGGCAGAAACCCTTTCTATGTAAGCAATGTGGGAAAGCTTTCACTAAACTGAGTAATTGTAAAAGACATGAAAGAACTCACACTGGAGAGAAGCCCTATGTATGTAACCAGTGTGGGAAAGCTTTCAGGACACAAAGTCATTGTAAAACACATGAAAGGACTCACACTGGGGAGAAACCCTATGTATGTAAGCAATGTGGGAAAGCTTTCATTAGGCAGAGTCAGTGTAAAATACATGAAAGGACTCACACTGGGGAGAAACCCTATGTATGTAAGCAATGTGGGAAAGCTTTCAGGACACTCCAGGTGTATCAAGGACATGAACGAACTCACACTGGGCAGAAACCTTTTCTATGTAAGCAATGTGGGAAAACTTTCACTAAACTGAGTAATTGTAAAACACATGAAAGGACTCACACTGGAGAGAAACCCTATGTATGTAACCAGTGTGGGAAAGCTTTCAGGACAAAAAGTCATTGTAAAACA